GAGCTGTATAATAACTGGAGGACCTGCTCCTATACTTCGTTCAGTCAACAAAGTGTCCGCAAAAACATGGCGGATTTTGAGTGAAAATGACGCCATTTCCATGACTACTGGTCCCTAAATTCATGGTAATTGCCACTGAACAAGGCTCAAATATGAGCCCGCCACAGTTTTCACACCCCCCTGGTTTTTATAAAAATATTTCGGCTTTTTGCAGTGAATACTTGTTGTTTTGATATTTTCGACATATTTTTTCGACTGTTGACCATTTGTTCAAAGGTGTGGAAGCCGTACACGTTCATTGTCGTCCGTGGAGCGTGAAAGACAACAAACAACTATTAAAACCTCGCGAAAGCCGAAATGTGGACAAAAACGATACTTCAAGCCAGAGCAAACATCCGTATTTATCAGACTATAAACAGGTATTTATAAATATTTCAAAATTCACATTACTATTTTAAATATTTCATGAAAAAATGTTAGGAATAAATGGTAGAATGTACTCTATTTTTTAGAAAACAAGCCACGAGTATTTATGTGGTTGTAGACGAACCTTTTTATAACTTTAAAATATAATAAATTCATCCCTCAATCCCAAGGAATTAATGGTTGTACATGTATATGAATTTGACAAATATTTGACATGAAACTATGATGTGCTAGTATATTAAAGAGGGGAGTAACGTTTTATATACAGGTTTAGCCAAGGCTGGGTATTGTCATGCATAAGCTGGTGGTGAACTGGCTTACGTACTGGCTTTTTTGTTTTGGCAGGACAAAGCTCAGCTGATCTGAGAATGCATGTTTTGCCCAAGTTTTTATATTGTGTGCTCTCTGATAGTTTGTTGTATGTATCTTTAAAAGGCCATGCATTAACTTGTTTGTCCCATCCCTATGAGTATTGGGTTAATTGACTCAAGTGCTGGCATATTTCTGGTGTCCCTGAGGTAAGGGTTGTTAATGCGACAGCTAGGTCAGTAAGCAAGACCTCACTGTGTGGTTATTTTTATAGTGGAAATTCCTTTCAAATTGTATGGACAACCTGACTGGCTCAGTTTTCAGATCTCACCTGAACAAGGGAAGCTCTCAGTTACACCGGGAAGATATTTTTTGACTATAAACACTAACTGGACTGATTTGGTCAAAATAAAGTCAAAACAACATTGGTCATGAAAATATTGTCAAAACAATAGAATTGTGTTGACAAAGAAATAATAAATTATTCTACCAACCAGGCCAACCTGGCTTCCATATTGATAGCCCCTATGGCTATAATCTATTCTGAGCTTCCTCCGCAGGCCTGATCTCTATGGGTTTTAGCCTGGAAATGGGTTCCCATCACTCGATTCCTCGGGTGAGATGCCTGCGGTGGAGGCTAGAGTTCATGTCACTGTTGTTAGTGAAACTCCATACCAAGAAACATGTATTGTAATGTTTCAAAATTAGTTAAAGACAAAAATTTGCTTGATTTTGTATATTATTTATTTTAATTAAACTTGCTAATTTCATAATTATTCTTTGACCATGCAGTGAATAATTTTAAAACATATAATACAGTATTATTAAAACTAGAGCTCATGCATCATTTTTTGGCTGTTTGTACAGAGTAAATATAACACATTCCCACAAAATTATAGAGAAAAGTAATTGTTAGTTCTGCCAGTTAGGTCTGGCAAGAGGTAGGGCACCACTACTCTTTTTTTTCACATTTGAAAGAACTTGTATTAATTTCTTGTCCACATGACTTACATCAGTTTCGCCCTGAATGAGAAATGTCCATTATACATATAAAATAGTGACAGTATCATATGAAGACACTGAAGATGTATTGGGTCACTGATCCCAGACTCCGATTACAGGGAAATTTACTGTAGAGCAGAGCCTAAACTGTTCACTTAGACATTAGTGATGTTATATAATGCATGGCTCTCCAGTCCACAACTGTTAGACAGAGTAAAATAATAAAGTAGGGTGCATTAGGGCACAATGCAACCTAATGGTTAATTAATATCATGGTATGTCAAATAAATTGACTCACTCAGTAATTTTTTCACATATATCAGTTCTGACATTTATAAGCCTGTCTAATATGCCAGGAAATTTTACTTGTCAAGACGACAATTGTCCATTATAAATGGATTAATTGTATTTCTTAACTATCCCAAAGTTTCATTTTACATTAGAATATATCAAAAATGATCTAATGTATGCAGATCTAAGAGAGAAAGTTCATAAATAATGTCTAACTGAACAGTTGGGCTCTACTCCTCCAATACTGGGAATAGTAACACTCCCACTGAAGATGCTCTCAAACATGTTATCAATCATCAATTTGATTGGTTAATTGTCAGGGCACAATTTTGGTCAATGCCAAGGGCAGTGATTGAGAGAATATGCATGGCTGGCACGTACACACCCTTCATTATTATTAATTCCTACAAATACAACTCTAATGGCTGTGGGATTTATAGACCTCTGACAAACTATGTTGGTCAGATGAATGTACCATGTAAACCTCTGATATGCATTTATTAGCATTTTTGATGGCTGAGCTGTTGGAATGGATCCCTTTGCTGCATTAAAAAATACCTGTCCAAAAATAAGTCTCCATGGGCTAACACAGACTGAGGGACTTAAATTCGGAAGAGGACTTATATTCAGAATTTCTTATGGTGGCCGTTCTACACAGGAGGGCTTATATTTGGGGTCTGTCATTGGGGCTTATATATTCAGAGGTTTATGGTTATTGCTTGATTGCAATAGGTATTGAATCATTTTAATGGTTTGAACTTGATACATTATCTTTGGCCTAGCAAAGCAATTTTTCAGTTTGCCTGTTGTAGAAGTGACATATATAACTACACAGTATGAAATTATAAATAACTGCTACAAGAACCTGGCAAGGCCGCCAAGGATATATATCACTCAAAGTTTGTCAGGGAAAATTTAGTTTGATATACCGTATCTTTATAACACTGAAGTCTGTAGTACTAAATCAATATATAAAGTGCACAGTAAGGATTTTAGCACCACAAGCAGCCTTTAAAACCATATGAAAACACAGACGCTAGTGGTAAATCACAAGAACAATAAAATTACAGAATTCCCAACCATTTTTCGTACGGGGATTTGTATTTCTATCGAGTTTAATCAAGCACGGCTAGAATCTAGAAATATTCAAATACAGGTATAAAAATCTTACTGGGGAATAAAAATATTCTTCTAGTTCTTGTTTGAAGAGTTCTCATACATACGAGCGGCGCAAAAAGGCAGTGTCCGTTGTAAATCAAGCAAACTTGGATAAAAATATCAAGATTTTCAATGAGATTTTTACGTTGAAAACAAAATTTTTGGGCTGAAACCAGGGGGGCGAAGTACATCGTCGAAACCTTAGGATCGCGGTTGGGGCAGTGGTAGTTGCCATGTATCTAGGGACCAGTAGTCATGGCAATGGCGTCAGATCCGCCATGTTTTTGCGGACACTTTTTTATCCCGAGCAGGTCCTCCAGTAATATAGTATAGCTCAGTGGTCAATAACCTTCCTGTAAGAACAGCCGCCATCTTGGAATCTCGACTTGCAATGAACTCTGGGAGCAAATTTCTAAAAATTTATTTTTGGCTTTCTTTTCCACGGAAAATGATTTTTCTTTTTGGAAATCATTCTTTTGCAAGTCTCTTTTACCAAAACTACAGATAAAATTTTTTAACGGTTTTAAACTGTTTTTTAAAGTATTTTACATTAAACAGAATTTTACTGGTCAGCGGTATTTGTCATAAAAAGGATCGCTTAATATCATCTGAAAGAAGGCTCTTTTGACGTGGCCCTATATCAAGTTTGATTTGGTACACTTAAAACAATTGATATTAAGAAAAGTATGCTTTTAACCAAAATCCCACATTTTCTAAAGAAATCTGCCGTACTACATATTGATATATTGGATTCATTCCAGGAGACTCGAGTACGCCTGAAAAGGAAAGTGGAAAACATGTTCTGCTCGAGATTTTATATCAGATAAAGATGGGATGCGAATGTTTTAACGTATTAAAAACGACCCATCTTATGAGTTCATTCGCGAAGTAATTTTAAAAATAAACATTGTCTAAGCCAAGATTGTCTAAGCTAAAGTTTATGTAAATCAGGACAAATCTTTATCCGATTTAAAAACAAGGGGGAAAGAAAGAAAGGATGGAAAAGGAAAGAAAGAAAGAAAGAAAGAAAGGAAGGAAGGAAGGAAAAGGAAAGAAAAAGTGGAAAGAAAGAGAGTAATTGCACAAATAAGTAGCCATTTTGCTCAGGGACAGACACTAGGTGTAAGGGGTGCCCCCAAATAATTTACGAAAGAACTTTGATAGCGGAATGTAGCTTCATTTGCAAGTTCTACCCATAGATATCTTATATACACTAGATAGCACATCTCTTTTAGTAAAATTGAAGCCAAAAATATTCCAGCGGTTACCCCCATTTGAATAGATGGCGGCCATGTTGGTCATTCCCACTTGCTAATAAACGCTTAAAAACAACAATAACTTTCATCATTTTAATAGTTTAAAAATGTATTTGGAATAGGGTTAACCTAATGTTTAAGTTCCCTGTTTAAGAAATAGAAAACATACGAATCTTCTTATTTCATGGGAACGACCTGAGACTACAATCAGTTTGTCATGATTGTTTTTTATTCATATATTTACAAATATATTTACGTGCAAGTATAGTATATACTTTAACTTGATTTTTTATCAAGTCACTCTTCAGTGGATAAAGTTCTTAAATATCCAGCGTCTTTCGGCGAGCAGTTACTATAGAAAGGGAGGGGTTACTTTCTGTGAGGAGGTGGAATGTGCGTTATTTCAGGAATCCCATGGCAATTGTTGGCACAGCAGTGTTCATGCGTGACTGCATGAGCGAGGATGATTAATCAACCTTCAACTTTTTAAAGTCAAGTGCGTCCAGCAAGTCTTTTATTTTACCATCATTGTTAAATATGTCTTTTAGTTTTCTTTCCATATGGACGGTGCTATCCTTTTTGACGGTTGTCTTATTGATCAACTTTTTTGGTAGATACAGTGTCTTTTCCGGCATGTTCTTCAAGTCATATAGCCATTTATATTGGTTTAATTTCGTTTTGCATTCGTTTGGAATATCAAAAAACAAGCCAGGCGTAATATTTTGAAAATCGTTGCCATGAATTTGCACGATTAGAATATATGGTAGTTTTTTAAGTCCCAAATGTAGCATTAAAAGCTTGGCATAAACTAAACATTGATGTAAGTATGGTCCATATGAATTTCCCCAGAATTGTGGTTTATCGGACACTTTCCAGTCTATAATGACGTAATTGTCTTTATACCAACCAATTACGTCAACTTTTCCATTCCACAAATACATTTTTGGATCTCTATTTTTGATTTCGCGGACCATGAACCCTTCCAGAGAGAATTCAACTTGCAGAAATTTCAGTTCGTTTGTGGTGTTATCCTTGTTTTTGTCTTTGGGATTATTATCCTCAATTTTATCTTCGCCTTTGGGATTATTCTTGTTTTTATCTTTGCCTTTGGGAGTATTGTCCTCGTTTTTATCTTTGCCTTTGGGATTATTATCCTTGTTTTTATCTTTGAGTCCAAAATTCCTTTCCTTTACTTTGTCGTTGTTCTTCTCGTACTCTTGGAAAAATGATTTAACCTTTGTTACTATACCTTCGGCATATGCGTCTTGGCTTTTTCTTTCAGCTTCGGCACCTTCGGCACATGCGTCTTGGCTTTTTCTTTCACCTTCGGCATATGCGTCTTGGCTTTTTCTTTCACCTTCGGCATATGCGTCTTGGCTTTTTCTTTTACCTTCGGCACATGCGTCTTGGCTTTTTTTTTCACCTTCGCCGTATGAATCTTGGCTGATCAGTATTGTTCTTATATAGTTTTCGAGCCATTTATGAATTTCTCTTCCTTTAGTCGCGTCACTTGCTTTTTTTGATTGTCCTTGTGATTCTTCTGTGCCACCATTTTCTTCTGACGTGCTTGCGCCATCTTTTAATTCTTTTTTGTACAGATATTTTTGAAACATCCCTTTGATCCGATCGTTTATCTAATAAAACAACACAGACTGGTGTTTATTTAGGAAAAGTGTAATCAAATTTCTCGAAATAAGACGACAATAATTTCATATCACACGAAATCTTTAATGTTCATTAGCGCTAACCGTGGGTTAAATTTAACCCATTTTTATTTATTTATTTAGCTTTGCCAACTAGGGCAGAATCACCACAACAGCATATGCCAATTACTGTGGGCCCTTTTTACCTAACCCACCCTGTCAACTTTCCCTGTGGGAGGAAACCGGAGTACCCGGGGAAAATCCACGGCTTTCGGCAGAGCGTTGACATTTACTCTTTTCACATGGGGACTGGGTTCGAGTCGCATTGAGAAGGTACTTAGTGAGACTCGAACCTGCAGCCTCAGAGGTGAAAGGCAAGTGCGCTAACCACTTGGCCACCGAAGCCACCATTGCTTTGGTTTATGTTTATCTGTATGTTTGTTTATTTTAAAAATTTAGGAAATTAAACTTCTGATGATCTGGACAAGATTTCTAAAGTTTATAAACAAGTCGCTGGGAAGTTTGCTTTGAATTTCACATTAACCCAGGGTTAAGCTAACTGGCTTTTGAACAACGGGCCCCAGGCTTTTCTTAAGAGTAGACAGTTGGGAATTCTCTTTCCGTTTGGCCCTCTTTAAACCAGGACGATGTCGTCTTGGTATTTTGTAGGTTCATATCTTCGGTTCAGTGCAGTGCATGTTATGTGGATGAAAATACCACCGTTAGATCCGCCTTTTCAATATTTCCGATCAGACCTAATTTGGTTTGTTTACGATGCAATTCAAGCGATTTATCGTCTTTTAAAACGTTAAGATATGTATTTTAAGTTGACCACAAACATGCCTTGAACTTCGTTGGGCTATATCTTCACTCAGCTGAAACCGATCGAGACAGCAATGCCATTAAAATCCTCGTATCGAAATCTCGATATATCCTAAATTTTGTAAGATTACGAAATAAACAACGACTTTTATGGGCATTTTCGGAATTTGCACGTGCGTCGTGACACGGTCGTAATCTGCCGTCATTCTTCGGGTCAAAAATCTTTGAGATCCCTTTACCGTTATTATTATTGTTAGCGGTTTCAAGCAGGCGACGTTTTTGACAACACGAACGTTGACCGGAAGCAAATTTGACGTGATCAACCAATCATCATTCTTGACCCAGTCTTTTGACGTTACTCATGCCGTTCGTGTTGTCAAAAACGTCGCTTGCTTAAGCCCCGTTTACACTACGCTCAATTTTTGGAACGGCACGGATAAAATTGGTACCCGTACCACTTTTTTGGTTCTTGGACTACCTATTTACTTAGCTAACCCCCGTTTAAAATACGCTCAATTTTTGTACCGTACCACTTTTTGGTTCTTGGACTACCTAAATAGGTAGTCCAAGAACCAAAAAAGTGGTACGGGTACCAATTTTATCCGTGCCGTACCAAAAATTGAGCGTAGTGTAAACGGGGCTTAAAGCTCACTAATATTATTGTTATTAAACGTTGTATGTTCCCCAAAGGGCTTTTCAACATACAATTACAATATGCAATTTAAATAAAGCTATACTATACTATTCAAAATCTAAGTTACGATTGTCTATTAAAACCTTCATATATATGATACAAACAAACAAAACAACAAACAAAAAATTTATTCACACTAG